TCCATGTGTTTTGGGGATGAGAGTGAGTTACGGCTCCCCACCGGCCAGTTCAAACTGAGGAAGGTGAAATGACAAGAACCAATCAGAAGTCCAGTTTGTGTTACTGAAGCGCTGAGGATTGTTTTAAGTTTCTTTGGTATTTATTTGTTGACATGTTGTCGCTTGGTGTTGCTCCAACTGAGACCTTTAGTGGGTTTTAAACTTTAGTTTCAGACACAAACTGCTGATGGACTTTCAGCCCAGTTCCTTTGGTCTTTGTGTTTCTTTATAACTGTCGTGGCCCAGATGTTTAGGCTGCAGCTGTTTTTAGTCCTGATTAATCCAGCAGTAACTTTCTGGATGAATCGATCTCCTGTTTGGTCCAAACTGGTGAAAAATGTGGATCATTGTTTCCTCGCACGTCTTGTTTTGTCCAAAGATCTCCGGTTTGCTGTCTTAGAGGAAAGAACCCAGAAGGTTATGAGTTAAAGTGAAGGTTTAACGGTTGCAGCTCCACCAGAAGCGTACTGAGACGTTTGCAGGCCGGCGCCCCCTGCTGGAGGAACTCTTCTAACGATGTGGACTGCTACTAATCCCACTTCTCTTTGAACGTTTGAAGCAACATCCTTCAGATGAGTCCTCGGTGGACCAGATGTTCACGGCAGGATTATTGTAATAACGATTTTATTGCAACAACTGGAGAAAAATTGAAAAAATAAATGATGCTCTCAGTGAAATTCATCTTTGGACTCGTTTCCTGCGTCTTCTGTGTGTTTCTCCATAAAAACTGAAGCGTGTCTGCTGGAGAGCAGACCTTCTAGCTGCTGGACTAAACGTTGAACATGATGTGAACTGGTCGTGTTTCTACATGAAGCAGATGTTCTGGTGTAACTGGCTTCAGATGACCAGAGGACATGTCGGCTACAAACTGTAGGATGTGGTGCACTTCAACATCCTGGTCTTTTTGACGTTCTGGGACCGACTGAACCTTCTGGTCCAGTAGGTTGTCCATGTTGGACCTCAGAAACCAGCCTCCTGGAGATGTGACGGCAGGATGAAGCTTCTTCAGACCTACAAACCTGTTTCTGATCATCCTGAAAACCACAGAATCTGAAATTCACTGAACACATAAGAAACTGACGACCAACAGCTGATGACCATGAATCCATGATCATCTCAGAACTTCAGTCAGATGAAGTCGTTTCAAACCGTTTTCTCTTCCTTCCTCCGTCTCTTACTGCTTTTAAATTCCCTTCGTTACCAGAAACAGCCTGTGAGCAGAAACCTGAGCACCACTGATTTCATGTTTTAGGGTTAGATCTTGCAGGAGCCCTGCTCTGGTGGAGTCTCCATTTCAGTGACGTTCCACCAAAGCAGCTCCTCCATCCCTGTTCTCCATCAGCGTCCTTCACTCAGCTCCATCCAGGATGATCGTGATGGTTTAAAGAAAAGCAAAGCAGCCAGACTGATTCCATTCCCCCGATAGTGGAATGATGGTGAGGAGCAGCAGACATTCTTCACAGCTGTGAAGATGCTGCAGCATCGACGTGCTCTCATCTTGGCCTCAGTTTTTACCTGCTGAGACTGAGATCAAACCTGGTTGGTTCAGGTTCACCACGTCTTTCCACCGACACAGCTGGGCATCGAGCTGCTTCGTCACATGACCTCTGCTCAGGTGAAGGTACCTACAGGTGCTTCTTCTGGTTCCTCAGCAGTCTGAAGCTCTGTCTGGTTTCATGATCTTTCTGACGTTAAGCAAACTGTCTTCGTCTCCTCTAACCGGCTGCCTAAGTGCCCGTCCTTCATCCAGCAGTGTCCTCGCTGCTTCTGCTCGAGGCGTTGACTTTTATAAATACGAGGTGATGATGACGATCAGAAGCTTCCGGCGGTTTCACACTGAGATCATTAATGAGGAAACAGGAAGCAGCTGCTGCCTCCCGCCTGGTCCTCAGTCCTGAGATCAGCTCTGAAACCTGCCGGTCTCTTCTGGAAGCTGGATGAAGGTCAGACTGACAGAGTTCATGTTTGTGTAACTTCTCACAGAAACCAACCGACTGTTGGTCAGTTAAAGGAGGAGGTGAGGCGTCTGGTTCTGGTTCTGGTCTGAAGCCGTGGCTCCTCGTTCCTTCTCTGCAGCTGAAGGTTTGCAGCAGTTTGTCAGATCTTCCACATCATGAACTGTAGATTTGTCCTTAAACTGCTGTTGCCTCCAAAGCGGTTGCACCTTGTTTCTATTTTTGGTAAATAAATCAAAGAACCCGGTGTTGTTCTGAATAAACCCGCGCTGTGCTGCGTCTGTAGGTTCTGACGGAGCTGCAGGTCTCTGTGGTTCATGGAGTCGTCTGCATAGACGCTGATATGGAGCTAAATCTGGATGTTTGTCATCTTCAAATCTTCTGAGCTCTGAACAGTTTCTGGCTGTTTTTACTTCTGCAGCTCAGTGGAACCAGAACAACATGAACTTCTCTGTTCATTTATTGACCACAAAACCAAAGAGTCCAGGAACCAACACGTCCGACTGATGTTTCCTCCTCTGGAGCACATGGAGCCTCCACATACTGTGGATCTGTAGGTCTCTCTGGAACCATTTAAATATTTTTGTCATTCTGGTTGTTTCTGGGGCTGCAGGTGTCTCAGTGGTTAGCACCGTTAGCACCGTCGTTAGCACCGTTAGCGCCTCACAGCTAGAAGGTCACCGGTTCACGTCCCGGTGAGGACACCCGGGATCTTCCTGCGTGGAGTCTCCATGTTCTCCCCGTGCAGCGTGGGTTCTCTCCGGGTTCTCCGGCTTCCTCCCACAGTCCACAAACATGCTGAGGTTAATTGGTGATTGTAAATTGTCCGTAGGTGTGAATGTGAGTGTGCTTGGTTGTCTGTCTCTAAGTGTAGCCCTGTGATAGACTGGTTACCTGTCCAGGTGAACCTGCCTTCACCCTGAGTCAGCTGGGATAGGCTCCGCCCCCCATGACTCTGGTGAGGGTTAAGGTGTAGAGATGATGGATGTTTCTGTAAAATAGATCATCAAATACATTTTTTAATGGTATTTTTTTCTAACAGAGGACATTTCTGAGTTGTGACGTTTCCATAGTGACGCCCAAAAACATTAAAGTTACACCAGAATTAAATATACCAAAATATGCTCAAATATTATAAAATATTAATAAAATATTTTAAATATAAATGACAAAAAGGAATAAAAAGTCTAAAAATATCTTTCAAATAAAAACAAAAAATAGGAAAAATGACAAAAAACAGACACGAAACAAGAGGCACAAAAAACACAATAAAATGTTTGAAAGAATGTCAAAAAAATAAAGGAAATGTTTTTAAAAATCAATAAAATGTAAAAATCCCCCAAAATTAATGAAATATAAAAAATATATTTAAAATTGCAAAACAAATAAAATATATCTAAAAAAAGAGATTTTTTTTTTTTTTTAAAGAAGGAAAAGGAAAACATATATATACACAACATAAAGTGTGTGCTTCCACAGAGCTGCAGGACTTTGTGTGAAACATGAGCCTCAGTGGGTTAAAGGCTGCTGTCTGGACTCCACAGGGTTAAACAGTCTTCATGTGAATCCCGTTTCTTCACGCTGCTCCTGAGCTCGGCCGCCGTCCTGCTGCAGACGAGGTCAGCTGTCAGATGCAGCTAACTGCTCCTCTGGGCGTCTGTTCACACGTTCTGCTGCGATCGGGCCGACGGAGGGAGGAGCAGCACAGTCGAAGCCTTTTCTTCCCGCTGAGGAGAATCTGTGACGACGGCTTCCTGAGAGCTGAGAGCTCAGTTTCCACGGTGACGGCATCCCTCCATCCTCCTCCTCCTCCTCCTCCATCGTCCCTCCGTCCGGCTGCTGCAGCGCGTCGTCAGGATGGGAGATAAAGGCACCCGGTAAGATTCACCTTTATTCTGCTGTGTTGGTTCTGCGGTTCTGACAGAACCGTGGGTGTGTGTGTGCTGTGGGAACGTTACATAACAGCAGAACCTCCAGCGTGACGTCTGTGAGCTGCAGCACCGAGCTGCTCCTCTGCTGCTCTGCTCCGTGGCTTTAAAGGCACTTAAAGGCTCCAGTAATCTCATTACTGTTCAGCGACGGAGCAAACGCTCCGATCCAGGTCCAGTTACTCGGTGGACGTGTCCGAGTACCGTCAGGGGAGCGTAGTTAAAGTACTGAAGCACTCGGCGTGGCAGCACATGTCGGAGAAGCGCTGGCATGTTTTTCTGATGCAGATTTTAAATGCAGGAATTCTCAGCGATGAAGACGGAACCGGTCGAGGTGCTGCTGAAGCAGACCGAAAAGAACCCGTTTGAACCGTCCTGACCTGCTGACAAACATCTGAACCAGTCTCTATGTTTGGACTCAGTCAGAACTTTAAATGATCAAACTAATAAACGCAGTCACAGAACCTGTTCTGTTGAACCTCATCCGTTCTGGAGTGAAATATTTCAAACACCTGAACAGACGACGTGGTGCTCAGGATCATTTACTGACCTTCAGGTCCAAATATTCACCTTTAACCAATCAGAGTTCTGCTTCCACTTCTGGTTCTGATCTGATCCAAACCAGAAGGAAA